CGCATTACTTTAAGTTTGCACTTTTTTTGAAATTGGGCACCCAGTGTCGCCTAAACTTTATTTTCTTGTATGTATTTTAGCATTTTTTTCTAGTGTTGTTATACCCGAGCTGTGGTGCTGAATAGCGTTTGCATGAACATTCAGAGACTGGTGTTGATTTGATCAAACTCCAAATTACAACACAGCGGAAGAGAGGTGTTCCCTAAAATAGTGAAGAGTTAGTGCTGCCTTAAAGTACGTGCCCTTGCCTCTTTATTTTTGCAGGATTTGACCCTAAAATAAAGTCCCAGTTTATTAAACAGTTTCGCAGCTATCAGCGGTTCTAAAAACTTGTTCAGCTGCAACACTTCTTGTGTCATTACAAACTTTCTTGCAATGTATGCTAACTTGTGAGATTGCATGCAAGAGATATTCGTTAGTTTTCAGCTTTTGGACGAAAATCTCGTAAAAAGCATCGTGTCCGCCGTGTGGATGAACATTTGCCTGAAATGCAAAAGAAAGAAATTGATGTTGCGGAGCATGAGACTGTCACATTTGCCCAAACGATTGCTCCACTTGAAAGTGAAGAGAGAAAACCGAAAAAGGCAGCACCAAGGAAGGGTAAGTGCCAAGACTGTGACACCGCTTTATCTATTCACTTTATTAATTTTTCAAAATAATTCTCTTTTTCTTATACTTCGATGCAGGAGCGACAGATTTTAACATTTACTTTGGTGAAGAACTCACGTTCGGTTAGTAGCAGAAGAAAAAATGTTGAGAATTGCGACAAGGAGTGCAAAATTTGACCGTTAGGCTGCAAAGTTAATCGAAGTACGTTCAGTTTGGCTAGAGAAATTCAGACCTTGACGAGAAAGGCTGTAACTGAGCTCAAACAAAGATCACATCAGTAAAATGAATTTGCTTTCAAAAATCGCGCAATGGCAGTTTAAATTTGTCCTGCTCAAATTACTAGGGCACAGAAACAGCCTACGGGTGTCATTTGAAGCAGGCGTTGACGCAATTTTACAAGGAGATGCCATCCGTACCTCCCTTTTTGACATTCCGTCATGCAGTGGCCCTCCGCTGACGCCGACACTTTTTTACAAAGTAAACAGTACATATATGTGTATAATATAAATAATATTATATGCGCACCGAAGCGTCGGCTTCAAAATTATTAGGAAAAAGGGGACGATTTTTTTGTACAAGCAGCGTTTGAGGGATAAAACACAGATTTGTTCACCAATACATGCATTGCCTTGGTCTATCATCTCGGTCTTCCTATTCTGAATTCTTGGGTGCTCAGGCGTTGAAAGCTCTTCGGTTCGCTACAGCAGCTTGATTTACAGATATTGATGCGGAGAGGTTTCAAGAACGTCTGAATGCGCTCACGGATCTCGAACCCGAATATGTCACTTTCATTACCAATTATTTCAAAAACGTCACCAGTCAGGTTTGAATATGTGCATGCATGAACGTGATATATATATGCATGTTTCATTGCGCCCAGTTCCACCTCATTTCCTACCACGAGGTGATGTGTCTTTGCCTCAGAAACTTTGCCTGCATATTTGACCATTATGATCGAAATCGTTGCACGGTCTTTTGCTCAGACTGCTATTGATGGTCCTCGCATTCGCTTCACTTTTTTTTTTT